CTTCTCTCTCCAGCTGCAAAAACTTCCCCCACTGTTTTTTTGTTTTGTTTTTTTCCCTTCTTAAATATGTTATCACAGAGGCACTGATTGGCTTGGCCTTAGCCAGGGGCGGGCTCATCTTGGAGCCGGCTGGCATTGGCTCTGTCAGACACAGGGGAAGCTTCTAGAAGCTCCTCACATGAGCCACCCCTATAGCCCCCACCTGCTACCAAAACCTTGCCACGCAAACCCAACACACACAGCTAGAGCCTCGTACCTGTTGTACAGCAGTACATGGGAAGGCAAGGTGGGTGAAGAGGAGAAGGTTCGCCTGCCACACCGAGTGTGGACTTGTTTCCATTCAACTCCTCTCTTTGAGGCTACTGCCTTCTGCCTGGCAAGGGGAGGATACAGGGTCCCCTTCACCTTGGTTTTGGTCTGTTAGTTGTCCCTGTCTCTTGTCTCAGGGAGGGCAGAGCTTGGCTCCACCCTTGTGTTTGTCCCTTTCTGCCCCACCCCAAAGAGGCTTAGCCTCTCATTGCTGCAAGTCCTGCCAGCCCTGAAGATGGGGGCCGTTCCCCTGAGCCTGGGAGGATGTGTCTGTTTTCCATGAAGTTCCAGCTGCACCAGCTCTGGACTGGCATTTGGGGCAGATGCAGGCAGGACAACCAGGAATGTGAGCTCCCTTTCACAGAAAAAGTGTAGGCATGGCAGCAGGTGAATTTTGCAGCCCGGATGAAGTGTACTCGCAGGAGTGAGAGGAGAGTTGTTGCCTCAATTCCTGCACTAGTAGCAAGAGAAATATGTCGCAGAGAGGGGTGGGTGTGTTGCTGCTCAAGAGATTGTAGTAAGCTTCTGGTCTCTCTAATTTGCTTCCAAATGTAATCTGGTGGCCAATGAAGGCAATGGAGATGCCTGTGGTGGATAAAGCCCTTTGAGTTCTAAGCCTTATTCATTTCGTCTAGTTCTTTAACCGTGGTAAGCCAAGGCAGAGCTAAGATGCTGCCTTGCTCCTCAGCAATGATTCCAGTAGTTTAAATCAGTTATTCTAGCTGTTCTTGTGAAGACTGTTCCTCCACTTACCCTGTCAGCTCTACCACCAGTGGACTAAGTCTATCAGCCTGCCCTTGTGTAGGCACAGTCAGTGCAACACCTATTCCTCACTACAACAGCCTGGGGACACGTGCTGGGGATTTCTTGCCGTTGGGAGCTTTATAAAACAAATGTCTTTCGGGTCCTGGCTCCCTTACCTTGGGCCAGGAGCGGATGCTGGCCAGCGCAGAGCCAACACTGGGCAAAGTGACCATGGTGTGAGCATGCTCGCTGCAATTTGCACACCTGTGGCAGGTTTCTGCTGCCTGAATTCAGTAGGACTCTGGTACAGCAGCATTTGGAAGCAATGGGCAGATTTCCTGGAGCACAGCCGTGTGCCTTCAGCAGTGGGCAGCAACATGTGCGCACACCGTGTGCGGCTGCCCCAGGACCTTCAGCCAGCCCTCGCCCCACTGCCTGTACTCAACACTCTTTTCACTAACCTCAAAACCTTTGTTACTTTTTTTTGTGTTGTATGTGGTAACCAAGATAGAGGGGAGTGGTGTTGCTTTTTTTTTTTTTTAAATGGTTTTTCTTGTTGCCACCTTTGTACGCTTTGCCTCATTTTTCAGCACTGGGGGATGTCATAGGCAAAGAATCCTTGAAAAATCCAGAAGGTGGGAATTTTTATTAAAATTAATGAAATATATGTCAGCACACATGAGAATAGCATAGCTCAGGTGAGCTGTCTCTCCTTCCCTAGGGGTGCCGCTGATGTCTTAGTCACAGGGAGTATGGGGAGTGTATGTATAAAGAAGATAGAGTTCCTGCAAGTGTTGCATATGCACTAATTGGATCACACTGGTTGTTTTGGGAATTTGCAATGTCCTCGTCTTTCACCCGCTCCCCTTTTGTGGTGCCTGTGGGCTTTAATACAGACAGCTGGCCTCTGCGGACCTTCCCTTCACCCTCCCGGTGGATGTGGCAGTGGAGGAACCCAACAGAAAGAACAGTAAAAACTTCCCAGGCAACGGGATGTGGCTGAAGACAGGAGAAGGTGGCAGCACAAACTTCAGAGTGAAGAGCAGAGACAAGGAGAGACGGTCATTGGCAGTAGATGCTGAGTGGTTGAAGATGACTTTGAAGGGTGATGCTGACTGTAGAAAAAATGCAGATGGATTAGATGATGCTCCATTGCCTCCTAGAGGACAGCCTGTTGGCACCGAAACCAGGGTGAGTCTCATTACATGGGTTTCTTCCTCAAACACCTGCTACTAGGGACTTGAGGGTTTCTGACTTCCCATCTAACTCCAGCTCCATAGGTGTATAGTGCAGGGGTCCATTGCCTAAATCAAACCAGTCTGCAGCTGGGTTTTCCAAAACTGCATCCCTTTCTTCCATTGTAGCTCCAGGCACTGGAACCAGCCAGCTGTTCCCCAGACCGCATCTTTAAAGTGGTGTTTGTAGGGAACTCCGGTGTTGGGAAGAGTTCCTTTATCCACCGCTTCTGCTATGACAGGTTTTTGGCTGAGCTCAGTGCAACCATCGGTAAGTAATAGGGTTCCTGGCACATCTGGCTCAGAAGGGTGGGAAAGTCAGCCTGGACACATGCTTTTTGCCCATATTTTAGCCCAACTAAAGGTAAAGATGGTCCCTCTCCCAATTGCAGATCAATCTTGCAATTGCCCTGAACTACATAGCATTGATCTTGGCCATTGCCCTTGCAATGGCAAGCTGCTCTCTCTCCATCGTATCTTATGATCATTGTTACCTTCCTGACAGGTATCGATTACCAGGTGAAGAGTCTGATGGTGGATAACACCCAGGTTGCCTTACAGCTGTGGGATACAGCTGGACAAGAAAGGTAAGCAATTTCTATGAGGATGTCCTACTGCCAGGCTCAGTGTAGGAAACAGGAGGAAAGGAGAAGAGTGTGCACACCTGGTTTCTTTCTCTGGGAAAACTGTTAGCTTCAGAAGGATCAGAGAGGTCACAGCAGCTATTCCAGTGCTGAACCTGCAGCAAAGGTCTGTTCTGGAGACTTCTAGAAGCTGTGGCTGTGAAACAGGGCCTGGGGAGATTGCTCTGAAGACCGACAGAAAAGTAGTTTTCCATATGTCTCACCTGTATGCTTATGGCTTCAGGTAGTCTATCCATAAATCACTGTACGGTGTGGGGTTCGAAGGTCCTCTAGCCCTCAAAGCTGTCCTGCATCAGCCTGCTTCTGAGAAAAGGTGCAGGACAGGGCTGCAGATTAGGATAGAAACAAAGGCTCTGGATAGACATCCTGTTCTCAGACTCAGCTGTGCTACAGCTTTGCCAAGCTGCTCACTACCACTCACTGTTCAGAGGGTGGAAAGGAGTGTGTGAACCTTTCCATATCCAAAGCCAGCTGAAATAGTTTGACCTGTGGGGAAGGTGATTTGAACTACTCTGCTGGACTCTGTCAGTGAGGGTATTGGCCCCTTCCACTGCCCTTCTGCTGACAGACTTGTGGAAGTGATAATCCTCAGTAGAGGGGCAGTGTAGCTTTTTGTGACAGTGAATACAGGTTCCCCAATTGAAGGCCTCTAGTTTCAAAAACATGGGCCATCACTAGCTGTTACCAGCACTGTTGGTGAGGATCAGAGGAGTACAGAATACTCTTGACCCTCATCTGCTACTAGAGATGAAGGCCTGCCACTACCTTTATGTAAATTAGACTTTATTTAGGATGCACTTTGAAGCTGAAGATGAAAAGCTGTTTCAAGGAGGCCGTTAACCTCAAGAGCCTGGCAAAAATAAGTACTAGGTTTTTTGTGCTAAATATGTTAGGGGGGCTGGCCTTCAGGAGACAGCTGAGGTCATGGGAATATTATAATCCTGAGCTGTGCCAACGGAGTTAACAACGCTGTCTACCTCAGTTGGCTAGATCATGGTGGGAAATGTACTAAGTAGGAGTATCTATTGAAAAGCAAACTATTTCTTCCAAAATCAAGCTTCATGCTGAAGAAATGATGATTTTTGAGGGGACTCCTGTGGTTATTTCGGTGCTGAAGCTGAGTAGTAAAAGTTGTTATGACATGAAATGTGACATTTTACTAAGGCCAGATTTCATCAGAGGCCAAATTCATTATATTGTCTCTGCAGAAGGACTTTTAGGGTAGGTCCCTGCAGCATTAGCAGGTTTTAGATGTGTACTTGCAAGAGAGAACTTTGCTCAATGCTGATACAGAATAGGAGACCTGGGAAGAAGCAAAAGTTTCCTCTAGAGAAATATTAATTACTTCTAACTGGAGGTGTCCAACTGTGAATATCCTATGGAGGAGATAGAGAAACCCCTTGGAGTGTGCAAGAACTCCTTGGTGACTTCCCTGAGACTGGTGCATGCTACATTTGATGTTTCTTCTGGAGCATCTAGCCTGTCCTGTAGTTCCAGAGGTGCACCTTGACTGCCAAGAGTCTGTGCATTCTCATTTGGGTAGCTGCCAGAATGTCATGCTCTTACTATAGTGAGAACGAACAGGCTTCAGGCAATTATCTGAAGAGTTCAGGAGGGTCACTACTTGCTGTAGGTTTTCTTGGCTCTTAATAGAATAGGAGAGCTTGTTAGCCTGTGGAGATTTGAAATAGGCAGCTCTCCAGTGAGATCTCAGTACTTGTGTTGCGTTTAATTCCATCAGTTTGCAATCAATGTGGTTACATCATGGTCCTCTCACAAACTGCTTACAGATTTTAAGGTTTGTTTTGTTGGGTTTTTTTAATTGGAATTTATTCCCAAAGTACAAATCTGTGGTTCTAACTGGTATGCACAGGACAAAGTAGATATCTGGTGGGAATTTCTCCTGGAAATTGTCTGACTGCTGATTTTATGTATGATGGCATTGCTTTATAGATTCAAAACTGGAAACAGACTGTATTGATGCTGAGATCTTAATTACTGTTTCGGCAGCACTGGGGCAGAGATGTGGTACAGCTTAGTCTGCAGATTCTTCCAGACTCTAGAGAAAGGTCGTGTTTGTTCCATCCATTTCCCTTTGTATAGGCAATTACCTTTTCCTAGCCCACCTAAACGGATGCTTCTGTTTCTTTCCTCCCGACCTGCAAAGATCTTCCTTCCTGCTTTCTCAGCACCATGCATTTGGAAAAGACTCCTGCTTACACATGGCTGCCTGGCCTGCCTCAAAGGTGCAAGGAACTGACTTATCTGATACCAGTCTGTATGCACCAGTCCCAGGGGACACATCTCACGCACAGGGGCTGCCAGGCCTTGCAGAGAGCGTGCACTAAAAGAGAGATAATCCCATTCTGTGTCTTGTCATTGCACAGCCGTGGTTCTGAGACTGCCTTTGGTTTCATTTGGGCTCAGGTTTCGGAGCATTACCAAGCAGTATTTCCGGAAGGCAGATGGCATTCTGGTGATGTATGACATTACGGCTGAGTGCTCCTTCATGGCGGTGCGGAACTGGATGAGCAGTGTCCAGGTGAGAGTGGAGCCTCAGCTCTCTGACGCTGGTGGTGCTGCCACTGCCTTGCTCCAGTGCAGCTCTAACAGTCTGTCTGGGAGTGATGTTCTCTGATGCCCAGGAGGTCCTATTGACCTTGGGATGAATTATCAAAGCAGATGCTATGGGTACTGCCTGTGGTAGTCATTTTGGGACCAGGGGCTTCTTGTTGAAGATACCAAACCCAGTGATAGCCCATTAAATGAGGGAGGGCTGTTTCTATGGCAGAAGGTGGTGCTACCTGCCAAAACAGTAGTGTATGTTTGTAAGCAGCTTGTGCATTGGCAGCGTCTCCTAAACTTGGTCATGTCACACCCGTGCTCAGGCAAGGAGATGTCCTGGTGTCTAGCCTATGCACAAGAAAGGGAGACAGCTCTGGTGCATTTAGGCTCAGACCTGCAGCATGCATGCACAGTGCTTCGCATGATCTCATCCTGACTCTGCTTTGAGATTTCTAGCTAAGATGGAAATATTAGTAGCTTATTTTTAAATAGCTTATTTTTTTCCTCATTTGCTTCAACTGTAAAAGTTGATATTTTTTTTTCTTTCCTATTTAGTGACTATGTATTAATATGGTAGTCTTCTCCCCTGCTTCTTCTTTCCAAACTCTCAATAAAAGCATTCATCTGCAGCTTGTATCTGCTAGGGGAGACAAAAATTCCTGTCTGTATAATTTAAATAAGTTGTGTGTAGATGACTCAGAGCTGAGCGGAAATTGTCAAGGGTGGTTTTGTTTTGATTGTGACGAGTCTCAAAAACCAGGATCTAAGTGAAATGAAGAAGCATAGGTTGGGGGTTTCTAATATTATTAACTTCCACAGGCCTGTTGGGGAGAAAAAAACCCAAAACACTTAGCTATTTCTTTGGACTCTAAAAGATCAAAGGTTAAGATTTTCAAAACTAACCAGCCTCTGAAAATCAGGCTCTTTTCAGGCAGGTTAAACTGAGCACGCAGAAAATCAAAGCACCTGATATCTCTAACTTTTAATAATCTTCTCTTCCTTTCCCCATCTTAGTATTTATCTTGCTTTGAAGCTGTTTGGGTACTTTAAGTCATCCAGGGCAGTCAAGTTTGGAAATAACTTTGAGCCCCATTCTGCAGGGAAGGGAACGGGCTCCAGGAATTGCCTAAGAATAACAGTTCATACAAAGACGGTATACGAGAGGTGAAAGTTGCTTAGCTTGCTTGGCCCATAGATTTTCAGCAAGGGATGGTTGAATTTAGGGCAGCACATCCTGACAGGATGTCAGATGAATAGTACTGCGCATACACAGAAGAATTACTGAACTTTAATAAGAAGCTCTGCCTGAACTTAAATTCCCAGCAGCCTATGGGACAAACTGCTTTTCTTTAGGCTTGTTATTTCCCAGAGAGGAACTTATGTCCTGTCTCCCCTCTCTCAGCATCCCAGCTGTACATACCAAACATTTGAAATACATTCCTATAGTTTAAGCTTCCTTCCACAAATCCCTGGGACTATTTGAGGAATGGCCCTTTAATGAGCTAAAGGGTCTGATCTTGCTGCTACTGAAGGTCTTGTTTGCATGAGCTGGAACAGGATCTGCTCCAAGATACTTTCCTCCCTCAGCTGAGTCTCTAGGGTGCTTTACTCTGTTTCTTTTGCAGGAAGGTATTGAGGATGGAGCTGTGGTCTTTCTGCTTGGAAACAAAACGGATGCTGCACAGAGAGAGACCCGAAATGTGCCCAAGGTGGAGGGGGAAAGGCTGGCGAAGGTATGACTCCATGCTCTGCTACTCCACCTGCTCTTCAGCCTCCCTCCAGCTGTGAGCAGGGCAGCCTGGCTGGCAGAACGCCCTTCTTGGAGCCATTTCCCAGTATGGTACCTAGCCTCTCCCCCCCATCCCCTATTTCTCCAGTGCAAACATGTACTGAGGTCCATCTTGTACCCGGGAGGATGAGGTGGTGGCCAGCATGTGGCAAACAATGGCCCTTGAGGCATGCTCATGTATTTCTCTTGAGGCTTGATGTCTCCTTACAGTGATGCTCAGTCTTTCCGAGGGGAGCATGCATAGCTGTTTTCCCATTTGAGGACTCCCCGCTAATGCATGTTCTGCAAAATTGTCCTGCCTCCCTCCTCGCTCCCTGCATCTGCATGCCCACTGGTACCTAGCCCCTGGGTGAGGGGAGGCAGGGTTTCAGAGGTGTTCCCCATCTTCTGGATTCCGCACCACAAAGGTAAGGGAATCCAAGTACCCTGGGCAGATGCCTTCTCTTCCCAAATAACTCCCCCAGGGTTCCCTTTTGGACACTCTGGGCCCCCAATGCTGAAAAAGCATCTCCCTTTCCTGGGTTGGTGAGCAGGGTGGTAACAGGCATCCTGGCTCCAGATGCTCCCGGCAGAGTGCCCAGTGGCGAGGGTGAGCCAGCTCACAGGGGTGTGGGTGAATGGTGGGGGAGAGCTGGCAGCCAACATGGATGCTTGCTGTGCTCTCTGGCAGGAATACAAGGCTGTCTTCTATGAGTGCAGTGCGATGACTGGCTATAACATCATGGAGCCCATGCTGCACATGGCCAGGTCAGTGAACAAGAACAGTCACACTGGGGTATTTCCCCGGCTGTAGGAGATTGGTGTGGGCTCTCCTGGGGAATGGGCACAAAGAGGGAGTTTTCAGAGACTGGCTTTCTGCCATGTCACAAAAAAGACCTGAAGCGATGTGCTCTTCCCCCTGACTCCAGGTCCTTGTCTTTTGTGCCTGGAGAGCACCAAGCATAGACTGGACAGTATTGCATGCAAAGCTTCATCTGGCAGAGCTGGCTGTTGAAAGATTTGGAGTTTAATTTGAATATTTCATCACAAAAACCTTGTGTACTATCCCAGATTTTAAGTTGGTATGTTCAGTTAGAAATCTGCCTGCATCTCTAAGGGTTTTTCCTCCTTATCTTATTAAGTATTACACAGAATGTGATATTTTGGTTCCAATATTTTTAAAGGGAGATAAGACATTTTGTAAGGCTGAAAGAGGTTTGCTCTAAGATTTTTAGTTTTTAAAAAAGCAAGTAGTTTTGAAAAAAAGTCTTTGAAATCTTGTGAGAAGAATATCCTTTCGTTTTCTTTTATCCCTTCACCTCCTGCTGCATCCTCTGTTAGATTCACAGCAGGACTTAGCTGTTCATTAACTGGGATGATTTACTTACTAGCTAGGTAAATTGCATCTCCCATAGCATGTGCCTTCAGCATGCTTTATTACCATGCTGCTGCCAGAGATGGCCCAGACAGGTGAAGCAAACAGCCCGGGATTCTGCCATCAACGTGGCAGCTTGGCAATAAGGCACTGACCACTCACGCCTTGGTCTGGTGCTCTGTCTACTAAGCCATGCTGTCCCCTCTTGTATGTGTCCAGGTTCTTTCCGTGTTCCCTGGAAATTCATACTCATTTTGTGTGTGTGGTTTATCTAGCCCAACTTCCAGAGAAGCTCGGTCTTTGGGCCAGTCACTTTTTACTATCCTAAATGTTCCTGGCTGATGGGGTGCAAAGGGCAGAGCCAAATGCCTTCACAGGAAGGTCTCAGTAACCAGGTTGTGTTCTTTGTCTGTGCTCCTTGTTCCAGGTTGCTGACAGCACAAGACGACAGACAGAGGGAGAACGCCCTGCAGCTGGAAGATGTCAGCAGGAGGAAAGGGTGTTGCACATAAGGCACATCAATGTGTCAGCAAGAGACATGTGCCAACACCATTTCATGAAGCTGGGGTTCCTTTGAAGCAAGCTGAATCTGATGGTATCAGCTCTGCAGAGATTTGGGGAAGCTGCAGCTTTTCCCCATCTGGGAATTTCAGGGCGCTAAATCAGGCCAAAATGTTTATATGATCTGCGCTGTTCCATTTCCCCACTCTGCATGCAGCCCTGGTCTCTGGAGGCCTCGGCCCCTTTGGGGGAATTTGGCTGGTCTTGGGTAATAGGACAAACCAGGCCTTCTGTCTGGAGAGGTCGCTTTCCCATAAAAGGATGAAGTTCTGTTCCTTTTCTCTCTGGCAAAGAAGTGGCCTAGCAGCAGAAAGTTGTCCCATCCCACTCAGGGGGTGAGGTTAACTTTTTAATTCTCTCTGCGGTAATGAGAAGTAACGACAATTACTTCAGAGGTTCAACCAACTATAAATTTACTTAAAATTCAGTGGAACTATAAAAGATAGAGGCTTGGCAAAGGTCATAACAATGCTCAAAATTTAGCAGAACTATGAAAGGTAAGCGTTTAGCAAAACGTGTGACAATATTACCCTAATGTGCCGAAAATTAGGTTACAAAGAGAGTGATAGAGAGGAAAAGAAAGAGAGAAAGAAAAAGAGAGAAAGAAAAGATATCACCACCCTTGGATCCAGCAATGTTCTCTGCTCATAGTTGTAGTCTTCAGGTGGTGGGCGCGCGCCGAAAACTTATGGTTCCACTTTTTACAACCCGATGTGCCCGCCCCATAGGCAGGGGTCTGTCATCACTGAGCAGGCGCAGTATGTGCTCAGTAATGTTCAGAAATGTTCTAGAAATGAGTCGGTCGGTTGTGAGGGTCCGAGGGACTCACTGCCCCCCCCACTTTAGGGCTGACCAAGCGAGCGGTGATCTGTCACAGGCACGTGGTGTACAGAGCACAGATGGTCATTGTTTACGTGTTTCAGGAATAGAGGAGTGGTCTCACAAGACGTTATCCTGCCTCCGCAGGCTCCGTCCTTGTTCAACACTCCCTGGTCATCATCAGCCCATCCCTGTCCATGTCAAGACGGGTGTTTGCGACATTCAGTTGTTATCAGAGCCTCACAAGAGTGAAGGACACAGTGGGTGCCGTCTTAAATAGAATTTTAGAGAGAAATAAATTGTTTTAAATTTGGGCTAGCTCTAGGTAGTGATTCATTCGTCTCAAAGTGCAGCATCTCCTCTTGGCTCTGTAACAGCAGAGCCCAGCTGAAAGCCTGCTGCAGTCAGCGGGAAAACCTCCATCAGTTCCCATAAGATCTGGATCAGGTCCTGTATTGACTGCGAAATTTGGTTTGACTTGCCAGTATTGTAGTTAACTGATTCCATATGTGGATATAGTATGAACTGATAAAACGAGTCATCCCAATGGCTTTCCTTACTTTGTTACCCTAATGGACCTTATCACTGTCCCTCTCTTACTGTTTACATAACACAGAGCAGTTGCCCTGGGACTCGCAGTCACTGGCACATGCTGCTAATTCATAACCCGCTACAGGAGCTCTGCTGTACATACTAGGGGGGCCATATACAGCCTGTTTTAAGGCTGAATGCTGCCTGTTTCCTCCCATTCTTTTATGCTTTCCTGAAATTCCAGCAATTAGGAACTGACCTATCTGCAATACCCTGCTAGCTTGACCACAGTGCTTTCAAATGTACCTGGCTGCCTGTGTGAAATGTCCCTAGTGAAGCTTTTTCTCTTGCAGTGACCTTGTGCAATAACCTCACTTTCCAGGTGAAGGGTCTGAGAAAGAACCTGTTCCCCTTGGGAAGGGGCCTTCTTGTCACCAAGGAGTGGGGCAAAGCAGGGCGAGGGGCTGTGCAGGCTGAGGTAGGACCTGGCCCCAAAAGCGCACTGTGCCTGGGCACGAAGCCCCTGCTGTTCTCTGGGGTGTGATGCTTTCTGTTTTGCAGCTCAGTTGCTCTTAAAGCCTTGTGGGACTAAGTAAGCTTTTTTATAATGCCCTGTTCCTTTGAGCCTGTCTCTGTATGTGATGCTGACATTTTAGGTGCAAGATGTGATACTGCAGCTGTCAAGCAGTCCCCCCAGCCTTGCAGCATAGGGAAGGCCTATATTTATCCACTGTCTTTCCTCTCTTGGGATAAGGCGATTACTCTGAATGTCTGTTTAATTGTACAAATTTCTCTGGAAATACCCCATGCAGGAAGAGTGCTCTGAGTCACCTACAGCCCATCAGTGTTACAAAGAATTTCCACAGTTCCTCCCACTGCCCTTTACTCTTGATAGGAAAGAGGAAGATTTTCTCTGGAAGAGCAGGATTCCTGTCTAAAAGGAATAGCTAAAAGTGGCAAGCTCCTGCTCAGTCCTTACTGCTGGCTGACTGTGATTCACGCTGTGTTTAACTGCAGTAATGCCTTCCAGAGACTGGGAATCAGAAAGTTAGAGGAGGTCCTGAAAGAACCAGGGCGGCTGGTGCGGAATGTAGAGTAACACCAGCAGCGTTGCCAGCAAAACTGCTTGTGCTAGCAAGAAATGATGTTTGGGGAGGGAAATCCTCTCTGTTTTCAGAAAGTACCTGTATTCTGAACACAGATGTGGCTTTCTAGCCAATGTGGCTGCAAAGGAGCACAGACATCATCACCTGTTGAATAGGTCAAACCCACTATCTGAGCTGCGGGAGCTGCTGTCAATGATTCCTCTGCATCATGCTCCAGCTGCAGGTTAATAAGGAGTGGCGCTGACTAAGAACCAGCATCTTTGGTCAGGGCAGATCAGTAATGCTAACATTTACTTACCTGCAGCAGCAGGATTTGGGAAGTTGCTGCAGAAGGAAGAGAGAGCAGTGTTCAATCTGCTATTGTGATCTGAAAGTGCACCTCCAACACTCTGTACAGAGCACGTGACTGACAGAGGTGTGAAACACAGCTGACACACCAGTATGGGCCAGGCTATGTATTAACTTTCATCAGCGCTGTCATATTGCAATGGCAAGAACTACCATGTGTTTTTTTAATGCACAACTTTAAGCATGTTTTCTCAGTGTACAAGCAGAGTACAGGCAATAAAGAAATGCTGTCTTACAAACGCTGTGTTGAGAGGTATTTTTTCAGGCACCACAGGAGATTCAGCCTCCCTTGTTCAGCCTCTGATTGTAGTATGACCTCCCTTTCTCGCTGCTCAGAAGTGCTGAGACACCTGTCCCTCATGGTGGTACAAGTGGGAGGTTTATAAGTAGAGAGCAAGTTGATCAGGAACCCATGTTTTGAGGGCAGCACAAGAGCAATTAATCTCCAGTCTTGTGTTTTTCACCTTTAAAGCAGCCAGTCTGGCTGATCAGGGAAGGCAGAGCAGGGAGGGGAAAAAAACGGGAGATGCTTCCCCAGTGTTGGGGGGCAGCAGAGTGCTTTCAGAGAGGGAATGTTGTCACCTTGTACCTATATTTATAGAACTAAGTATTTATTTTAATGTCTCAATTCACCAGAGTTAGGAATTCAGTTGTTTTTAATCCTTATGCCCTGGCACGGCTCCAACCAGTATGTTTGTGCATTACAGAAATAATCTCTCTGCAGCTTTGACCAAAGAAATTATTACTCATTTCCCCTGCTATAAATTGATAGCACAGGAAGTAGTTCACTGTAATGTCTATTTTTTAGCAGGAACAGGGTGGATTTTTGTTTCAACCACGACAAAATGGCACAGTTTGAGCAGGTTGCGCTTGGACAACAGTAAGCACCAGGGTGGGTTTTATTACTGAATGATCTTTTGTTATTGCTTTGCATGATATTGAAATGTCCTGTTGGAAGACCTAGATGCTTACAGTCTAGAGGGGCATGTCCTTAAACCTTAACCTTAAAGTAGACCAGACTATCCACAAAATTCCTAATTTTACTACACCACCTCTGTTTTTGTCAGAATCTCTCCTGCCTCTACATGGGAGCCCTGGGAGCAGCCACCCTTTGCAAGCAACTGCTAGAAACTGCAGCAGAAGTCAAATAATGGGGTGGCACAAGATGAGGGTGGATGCAAAATAGACTCTGCCTGGGGGCTTATTCCTGTGCTATACTGGCTGCAGTCTCTTAGTGGACAGGTGACTTTTTGCACATAATATGTAATTCCAAATATGGAATTGTATCACAAGAAAGTACTTTTCTTCATAGAAACATAGCATAGTTTGGGTTGGAGGGGACATTAAAGATCATCTAGTTCCGACCCCCCTGCCATGGGCAGGGACACCCTCCACTAGACCAGGTTGCCCAAAGCTCCATCCAACCTGGCCTTGAACATTTACAGGGAGGGGGCATCCACAACTTCTCTGGGAAACCTGTTCCAGTGCCTCACCACCCTCATAGTAAAGATTTTTCTTCCTTAAATCTAATTTAAATTTACCCTCTTTTACTTTCAAGCCATTACCCCTTATCCTGTTACTACATGCCCTTGTGAATATTTCCTCTCCATCTTTCCTGTAGGCTTCCTTGAGGTACTTGGAAGGCTGCAATAAGATCTCCCCGGAGCCTTCTCTTCTCTAGGCTGAACAACCCCAACTCTCTCAGCATGTCTTCATAGGAGAGGTGCTCCAGCCCTCTGATCATCTTTGTGGCCTTCTCTGGACTCGCTCCAACAGGTCCATGTTTTTCTTATGCTGGGGCGGTCCAGAGCTGGACGCAGTACTCCAGGTGGGGTCTCACCAGAGTGGAGCAGAGGGGCAGAATCACCTCCCTTGACCTGCTGGTCACACCTCTTTTGATGCAGCCCAGGATACAGTTGGCTTTCTGGGCTGCAAGTGTGCATTGCTGGCTGATGTTGAGCTTCTTACAGCATAGGAAGCCTATCCTGGTGTATGCAACAGTGCAGCTGTGTATACAATCAGATCTGGTGGCAAAGGCAAAAAAATCAGCTGCTCTGATGAGCAGTCACAGTCCCACAAAGCTCTGCACATAGGCAAAGGGACCCCACTCTGCCTTGCGTTTCACTTGTCCCTTTCGTGTTAACATG